ATACACACACACACACACACACACACACACACACACACACACACGCATCAGGTACTAATAAGCAGAGTAGAACAAGGAAAGGTGCCGAGTGCTTGTTCTGACATGCCAACTTTTCTCTTACCGTTACCATATGCAGCCCTCGGTTCTGAGGAGCCACACCCGTTCCCACTTGAGAGAAAGTAACACAGTACTGTGTGCTTTTGTTTCTCCAAAAAGCTTCCCAGGACAGCCTTTGGCAGCGTTCTGAGGCGGGTGAATGAAAATGAGAAACGGCGCGGCAAAAAGAGTCTGCTTCCATCACCAGCTGACCCGTCGTGGGCATTTTATTGACACTGTGCTGTTACTCAGGGAAGCGAGGTGTTGAGGCACAGGAAGGAATCCATGAATGCGGATGCCATGGCGGCATCACTTCAGCTCTGGGAGCTGTAAGCTTTGGGAAACAGCAAAGAGGGAGAGCCAGCAAAGGGACAGAGCAGCTCACCAGGAACAGAGAGAGATGCTAGAGGTTCATACTCTTGGGACTCTGAGAGAGGGAGGGGCTAAATGACATCATCATTTCAACTTTTCAGGGGTCATGATGTGCCTTCGGAGAACAGGAAAAACAAACTCTTTAGAGAATCACTAGAGTCACAATGACTGAGCATTATAGAGTGCCGCGAATAAAAGCCAGGAGACAGAGTATTAGGGTTCCGGCAGGCAAGCGGGGTGGCCATACTATGGGCTTGCCATTTATCAAGTCACAGCTACTGCCCACCTGAACCATGTTGAGTCCTTACAGGACATGTCACAGCAGCCACCATAGGAGCTAACCATTATCATCATCATCATCATCATCATCATCATCATCGCCGTGACAAACAGAGGACACTGAGGCGTCCAGGTTAAATAGCTTGTCCCAGTCTCTCAGCCAGCAAGGAGCAGGGGACGGAGAGGAACCCAAATCTGCCAGCTCTGAAGTCAGGGTGCTTCCCACACCCCTGCCCCCATGCCACGTTTCACAGAAGGATCAGATGAGGACAACTTGGGCATTCGTTAGAATAGTTCCAGTGGGTGTCATGGAACACAGAGGTTCAGGTTTGAGTAGGCTGTCTGTAAGTCTCACGGGAGAATATTGGGTCCTGTCACCTAGAAGTCTCTCTCCTAGAACAGGTTATTATGTGAAGTGATTTTTTGGGGGTGGGGGGTGGTACTAGGGGTTGAACACAGGGACTCTGCATGCTTACACAAGTGATTTTGAGTTGGGATATTTCTCTGTGGAAGGAGCTGGCAGGGGAGTCGGTCTCCAGGGACATGTCCCTAAGGAGTGGTCCTAGACAGTGATCCGGTAGTTGGGGTGGACCTGGGGCCTGACATCACAGACCATTCCAAGAAGCTGAGCCAGGACACGCTCCCGATTTCTTTGCTGGGAGCTCTGCATGCCCTGAACCTGACGTCTGGTGGCCTGTTCCACTTCAGCAGACAGGTTCCCCTGAGAGCCCATGGCCTGGGGAGGGGAGGGGTGGAGGAGAGAGAGAAAAAGCAGAAACAGAAAGAAAGGTCCCAGCATGTAGAAGGAAGGATCCCGAATGAGGCCTGGAAAGCCTTTTCAAAACTACTCCCACCCCACAAAAACATCTAGATACCAAACAGGTCAGCACAATCCCGATTTCTGAGACTTGACATGCAA